ACAGTACCCTTCTCTTCTCCAGCTGCCCCAGCCCAGCTCTCTCAGCCTCGCTCCAGAGCAGAGCTGCTCCAGCCCTCGCAGCAGCTCCGGGGCCTCCTCTGGACTAACCACGAGTAATCAGAGGCTTTCCCAAATTATACAGTCATGAGAAAGGGTGTATGGAACCCCCCCCAATCTGTCAGGCACTCCACAAGCCCACAGCACTCAGGGAAACCGAACTGAGCATCCATGAAGAGCCTGAGACTTCTCCACACAGGAGACAACAGATGCATTTACTAAATCTAAAGCTCAGAATCACACAGATTGAAGAAATTCATTACAGGCACTTCAGGCTTTAACAGCTCCTGCCTTTGCGATGTTCAAGGCTCAGTTCCCAGCCAGCAGGAGCCCAGCTGACGCTGTCTCACTCATCACTACATTTAATAGGAACAGAAACCATTCCACTGATGCATCCAATATTAAGGAAGTCTAAATCAGTCTCTTGCAAAAGCAGAAATGAATGAAAGCCATTCACAAACAGCTCTGAAGAAAGTGGGGCAGGGGAAAACACCCACGACCATTTTTGCACTTGCACCCTATCAGAGAGAACATAGTGAAGGTATTTTACATCCAACACAAGCTGAGCAGGGCTACTCACTTGGCAATCTTCTCCTTTAAAGCCTTCCAGTCCCAAAGATCTGAGGGGGTGACATTCCACATGTCATACTGAAGAATCTGAAGAACACAGGGGTAGTTCAGATTAGACAGAACACCTTCTTCTTCATGGTTTATAGTATACACTAAGGCCTGATATTCCTATTCACTATTCCCCTCAGCTCCTGTATCATAATCTCACACTCTGTATTTTAACTGCACTGAAGGGATGGCAGCACAGGCTGAGCCTTGTTTTCCTTTTACTGCTCTCTCCACCTCAGTTTAAGTTCTGCGTTTCATACTGCACTTCAGAAGCCAAATGATGGAGGAAAACTCAAGCACCATTTGTAGTTGCAGTGTTATCAGCTAAAGAGCTCCAGTCATACATCTCTTCCTGTGTTAAATAAAGACCAGGCACAATCACATTTGCTTTCCATAGCTTTGGCTCTGACACAGGACACATCCTGGTACTTACTCCTTTGCTGACAGGAGAACCCTCATATGTCTCATAGGGTCCTTGCTCCTTGGCAAGCTCACAGCTGGCTTCCAAAGCACCGTAATAGATGGTCTCAAAGATCTGCTGGTTCAAGCGCTGCGCCTCGGGACTCTCAAAGGGGAACCTCATGAGGATGAAGGCATCTGCCAGGCCCTGCACCCCAATGCCGATGGGACGGTGGCGCCTGTTGGAGCGCTCCGCCTGCGTGGCAGTAGCAAAGAGAACATTACCTTCAGCAGAGCAAGAGAGCCACAGGATGGGTAGATAAGGTTGGAAAGGACCTCTCAGAGGAACTGTCATCCATCGGGCCTTTTGTTCTGCTGCAACAACCCACGTTTCAATTCTGCCCAGTCCCCACTGTCTGCTGAGGCAGGAGTGTGAGGACCCAGACTGAATTTGTTAGAACTGCTCAACTTGACAAAAGGAGCCACGATTCAGAAGGGGACACCAAGCACACTCTGAAACACAGGCCCATGAAGACATTTTAACTCATGCATTCAAATTGCACATGCTAGAAAAACCTGATCCTCAGCAGGTTTGGCTTCATGCTTTGAGTATTTGGTTATTTCCTCCTCCAACAGCCAGCTCTTGCTTGACTTTATGTTCTGCAGTGCAACAAACCCTGCTCCCATTCCTCTTCAGCAATACCCAACCCTGTCCTGGGCTGCACCCCCAGAGTGTGAGCAGCAGCTCAGGGAGGGGATCCTGCCCCTCTGCTGTGCTCTGGGGAGACCCCCCCTGCAGCCCTGATCCAGCTCTGGGGAACAGCACAAGAGGGACGTGGAACTGTTGGAGCGAGGCCAGAGGAGCTCCCTTCCAATCCACACCATCCTATGAAGACTGACTGGGATTGCTCCAGAACAAGAGGCCCTTGGTCCCCAGGCCCCCAGCACACCCCAGCCCTGCAGCAGCTCAGTGCTCACCTCTGGCACGGGGTAGTAGTTGATATCAATGATTTTGTTCAGGTTTCGGACGATCGCTTGGGTCACTTCAGCGAGCTTCTTGAAATCATACGTGTGCTCGGGAGTGACGTACATGTTCAGGGCTATGGAGGCCAAGTTACAGACTGCAACCTGTGGAGAAGACAGTGAGAACAGGCACCCCAGCCAACACCCCATGCAAAAACCACACCATCTCCCTTCCAGAGCATGCTCTTTAGCCAAAACACAAGGGAACAAAGAAGCAAGCAGCCTGCAAGGCTGGAAAAATGCTCTCCTCATTTCTCTGCTGTATTAGGAGTTGTAAAAAGGGTAACATGGATTCGAAAAGGTTTAGTAGAAGGCAGTATCACCATAAAAATTTAGTCCTCTGGCCTGGTCAACCCAGTTGCCTGCAAGCCATCCTCACACAAACTAAGCCTAAGCATTTCTTGTCTTACCAGATCAGCAGGATCTCAATGAGATCCAGACCAATTTAGGACATTTTTTTGGTCATTTTTTAACACCAGCATTAATCCCAGCCCCAGGAGAACTGGAAGGGAAATGGTTCAGTCACCATCTCTGGAAGTATTTAAAAGTCATGCAGATGTGGCACTTAGGGACATGGGTTAGTGGTGGCCTTGGCAGTGCTGGGGAATGGTTGGACTTGAGCTTATGACTCCGTGAAAGAAGTCAGCTAAGACTCCTTGTGTAGAGGCAGGTAAGAGGCCTCTGCACCTCTTCTAGACTTCAGGATTTTATGAACATGCCAAGGAGCGTGAGCTAAAGAACTACTAGTGGCTCAGGCAGTAGAGACTGATACTTGCAGTTACAACAGCCTCAAGCGCTTTACTGCACTAGAAGTTCCCTGTTCTATGTCCTACCGTCCCCTTTATTAGCAATGCTGAGGTCCAAACATAGCACATCAGTGAAGCACCAAGATTAGGGTAGTCCACAGGGAGCTCAGGGGGAATTGATACCGCAGTGTAAGTCTGGGATTAAGAGAGGCCTGGTTTTACTAAGTCATTAGCTGAGGAGATCAGCCACCAGCCAGCCAAAGAGTTCACTTCTCCCTCAAGCTCTGAGGTTTGCTTTGATGGGATCTCTTGTTTTATACCAAATCCTCCATGGAAGCTGGAAGTGAGCAGAAACCCACTCAGAGCCAGTGGAAGAGTTGTAAGTACTCGAGCCAAAGCATCCCCAGAATTTTGTACCTGTTCTCTTCCCCAACCACATCAGACTTACTCTAGAAAGCTACAACAGCAGCAGCCACAGCTTTCCTAAACGCTACCAGATGCTGTTCTCCACCCACCTCCTCTTTGCTGGTATACTCCACAATTTCTGTACACAGGTTGCTGCATTTGATGGTGCCCAGGTTCTGCTGGTTGCTCTTCCTGTTGCAGGAGTCTTTGTAGAGCATGTACGGTGTGCCGGTCTCGGTCTGTGACTCGATGATAGCATACCAGAGCTGCTGGGCCTTCACCACCCTGCGCACACGGCCCTGCTGCTCATAGCTGCAACAGAACCACGGCATCATGGAATCATGCAACCAACCAGACTGGAAAACAGCTTCAGGATCATTCGGTCCAACCGCTCCCCACCACTGCCCCCCCAGCCACCACTAATCCCTGGCACTGAGGCCTCGGCTACACAGGGTGTGAACACTTGCAGGGACAGTGACTCCAGCCCTGCCCTGGGCAGCCTGTTCCAATGCCTGAGCACCCTCTGGGCAAGGAATTGTTCCTCAGCTCCAGCTAAACCTGCCCTGGGGCAGCCTGAGGCCATTTCCTCTTGTGCCATCCCTTGTTCCTTGGGAGCAGAGACCAGCCCCCTCCTGATAGGCAGTTGTAGGGCACATGTTGCTTAATAATTCCCAGGCTCTCCAAAATAGGAGTGAAAGACAACCTTTAAGCCAGCAACAGGTTCTCCAGCAGGCACGACCCCATTCACTTGTGAACTAGCCAGGAGAGATGTAGTAGCAGGGTACCAAGGCTGTCCTTGTCTAAAGGGAACAAATCTTTCGCTACAACTAGTTCAGAGCAAAGCTACCGACAGCTTTAAGTGAGGATCACTTCAGAATTTCCCTCTAAGAAGCTAAAACAATCATTCACACAGTTCTACCTGGAGTAGGTCCCAGTGTGAAGCATATAGTGAGCAGACATTCCCTATCTTTATCCATTTATCAATATGGTAACAGAACTCAATGACCACTTAAAAGCTACCACCACAAAACAGTGCTTTGGGTGCCAGATACCACAGGCCAAGGGCAGCTCTGTGAATGGGTGGCCACTGCTTCGAAGTCTATTCACTTTTCTTACCTCTCATACAGCTTCTCAAACTCCTCTCCCCAAACCTCATCGAGGCCAGGACACTCATTTGGACACATTAAGGACCAGTCCTGTAAGGAGGAAGAATAGGCAGAGAAAGTCTTTAGGCATCCTGTTAATTAACTGCATCAGCAGACTCTGCTGTAAAGAGGAACATGCCAGCTTCCCACCCCCAAAAACTGGAACCAACTCTGCCTGCAGTCCTGGGGAAGGGATTTATCAGATGAGTCTGTATATTCTAAAAGTCATTATACGAATATTTGTGACCAAACTCCACTTTCAGTCCTGAATTGTCTGGTTGTCAAGATATAATCCATTGTAAAGCAAATACAAGCAGTCATGTGAAGCCTGAGAAGATTTGAAGCTTTAGTGAAAGTCCAGAGTAAAACTTTAGTGTAGCAGTGTAACTACCAGCCATGGGCTGGAAAATCAAGCACTGAAGCCAAGAATCCCACTGGAGTTCTCCAACTCCACTCTCTACCTGCACAGCCTAGCTCTTAAATAAGGTGCAGCAGCTCTTTTGGGAAGTTCCTCTGCTCTTAGGAAGAGGGATTCTGCAGGCCTTCATGAAGCCCATCTCAGGGCTGGTCCCCTGTTTCTCCAGTAACAGACCTATTCTGCACCAGCCAAGCTTTTTACCTGGTTGGTTTCAACTCGCTTCATGAAGAGATCAGGAATCCAGAGGGCAAAGAAAAGGTCTCTGGCTCGTTGTTCTTCCTTCCCAGTGTTCTTCTTCAAGTCAAGAAACTCAAAGATGTCCAAATGCCAGGGCTCCAGGTAGATGGCAAAAGCCCCAGGTCTCTGAGAGGTAAAACATGATGAAAATCAGGACAAATTGCCAAAATCTCCTGCACTGCTCTTGAGTGCACCCAACACCCTAAACTAACTGGAGCTGTATAGTCTCAATAAGGCAATTTCAAGATGCTTTCTTGTGTTACAATTGCTCTCACTGAACTGGGCCACGTTACTAGTTCCAGACTCTCAATAAAAGTGATTTAGTACCAGAACTGTATTTCCTCTCTGTAAACAGGAGCTAGACAATCACAGATTTACTGTCATGCCTCCACTGACCCCTGGACTATGTGAAGACAAAGGATCACGAAGCTTCCTACAGTCTTATCCCTTAATTCACTACAGGGTGTTGAAGAAGTGACTAATACCCAGTGCAAGAGGCTGCTCTAATGTGTGCCCACCATGCAGCAAGAGATACACCTGCATGACAAAAATGCATAGTGAAAGGGGAACACCAGATTATCAAGGGGTGAAATACACTATTTTAATCATGTGTCATCTACCACCACTTCACCAGCTCACTGATGTTACTGGGTCAGTCTTTCACAGATGAGGATGTTCCCCCTCTGACCCGAGGCTCCCCTTCTTCACCCCATTGTAATGACAGTACCTTATTTCCTCCTTGATCCACGTAGCGAGCAGTGTTGTTGTAGACCCTCAGCATTGGAACAAGCCCGTTGGAATTCCCATTTGTCTGCAGAGGCACAGGAAAACCATCAGTACTGAAAAGCATCTGCCTGAAGAGATGGGCCTGTATTTCCTGTGTGTCTCTCAGCAGTCTGCAGAGCTCCTACACTTAAAGCCAGGAACTAAGCACCTCAATCAATTACTTGGTAGTGGCCTTCCCTTGCCTGTTTTTTAAACAGACAAAACTGGATATATTTGGTACTGGTCTCAGAGTTAATCAAATGTGTCTGCAAAGTTCTTTCTTCTGCATTAGGTAATGTAAAGCCATGCAGAGGTTACATACACTGTGGCGAAACCACCAAACACACATCCACAGATCACAGAATCCCAGACTGGTTTGGGTTGAAGGGAACTTAAAGCTCATCTAGTTCCAACCCCACAGTTCCAACCACGGGCAGGGACACCTTCCACTAGAGCAGGTTGCCCCAAGCCCCGTCCAGCCTGGCCTTGAACAGTGCCAGGGATGGGGCAGCCACAGCTTCTCTGATGATCTCGAGCAGTCAGACATACAAAAAGGTAAAGGGCTAATGCACAAGTCTGAGCATACTCCCAGGTTGCTAATACATAAATGGGAATTCTCTGATCAAACAGTGGACTAAGATCCTCTTTTTGGAAGGACTTCTGCTCAGAAGCCAGAACACCGCAGAAACCCAACCTTTTTGCCTTAGAACATACTGAAAAGAGAAGACTAACTGCTGTGTTCATCTGAGTCAGTAGAAGCTGCATCGATTTGGCAAGTAAGTGCAGACATTTCCTGAGAGCAGAAGGCTAACCTCTGCTGGAAGCACCATCTGCACACCTACCCCAGCAATGTAGCTGCCCGTGGCTCGGATACAGCTGACAGCAAGGCCAATCCCACCAGCAGACTTCGAGATCAGGGCACACTGCTTCAGAGTGTCGTAGATCCCCTCAATGCTGTCATCCTTCATGCACAGCAGGAAACAACTGGTAAAAACAAACTGCTTTAGCATACAAAGATTAAACCAGAAATAAGTCAAGAAGTATTTCATGAGGGCTGCAGAAAACCAAGGGTAAACACTGAACCTTTAACAAGCTACACAAAGCAAATAGATGAAGCAAAACTACAGGCTGCAAAGTGGAATAAAGGACAGGTTTAGATAACATCCTGAGCAATAGTTGTATTACTGATATCTGTTATCAAAGCAGAACAGTTTAAAATCATATCAGTTATGCTTGCTACTCTTAGCATGTGTTACAAAAACAATCACCAGGATTCATATGGTCATCTACAGAAGATAAGGCACACAAGGTAACTTCTAAATGGAAACATTTACATTAGCTTTAGAAGCTTACAGAAACCTGTGTGGTTTTTCCCAAAGACTACACTAAATACCAGGTTAAATTTGACAGCAGCTTCTCAAAGCTTCAAACAACCACAGAAGCAGAGCTGCTACTTGTGAAAGCCTTTCATTGACCAGACCTGATCTCCAGAACTTTCTCTTCACCCAGTTACACATGGAGCAAACCTGGAAGCCAGCGGTACCTGGAAAGCTGGGGCCGGTTGGTGCCCGCGTTGAACAGCGTGGGGGAGGCATGAGTGAACCACCTCTCAGAGAGCAGGTTGTATGTTTCTATTGCAGCCTCTATGTCATTCTTGTGGATCCCCACTGACACCCTCATCAGCATGTGTTGAGGACGCTCAGCAACTAAAGACAGACGAGAAGAAACAATGCCAGCAAGACATTTACTGTTAGTACAGACGCTGAGGTTGTAGAAATGAGCTACAAACAGCGTGCAACAGGCCACTTGAGAGCTGTAGCTTTCATAGAACCAGAATAATTCAGGTAGGAAGGAACTTCAGGAGGTCTCCAGTCCAAGCTCCTGCTCAGAGAAGAGTCAGCTGAGAGAATCAGAGTAGTTTGCTCAGGACTTTATCCAGTCAGGTTCTGAAGAACTCCAAGGATGGGGACTGCGTAATCCCTCTCAACTACCTGCACCAATGTTCATGGGAGGGGAAACAAAACCCACCTGTATTAACAGTATATCCAATCAAATGCCCAATCCAGCATCCAATTGCTCTCCAGTTTTATTATATTAACCTGCCTGCTCTGGGGCAGGAGCTCTTCACTGTGAGGGTGCTGAGGCGCTGGCACAGGGTGCCCAGAGAAGCTGTGGCTGCCCCAGCCCTGGCAGTGTTCAAGGCCAGGTTGGACACAGGGGCTTGGAGTAACCTGCTCCAGTGGAAGGTGTCCCAGCCTGTGGGATTCTGTGATATTACAATTATCCTGTCACTCTCCTGGTGTCCCTTTCACATTAAGGGCCTGCAATAACTGGTGCCGACAGCACAGTAGCTCATTCAAGTTTCAATCTGCTATGAAGTGCTTAGTGTTATGGACCAAGTTATCAGCTGGACAGGAGCTCCTTCATCTTCTAAATCCTTGGTTAAAGGCAGCTTCCAAAGCACCAGGGTCCTTAACACAGAAGGTGAAACACAGTTGGCCAGGTCATACTGCCATCATTTGGAACACCCAAATGTGCCTCAGTGCTGCTCTTTATCAGTCAGCTGCTCTTCATGCAAGCACAGCACTGCCACCAAACCCCATCAGAGTCCTGGCCTAAGAAAAGAAGTTGCACATGCCCAGAGAACACCCACTACAAACATTTGGCTAATTTTTAAAGCAGTGCTTTCACTGGAATGCTTTATGGAAACCTCTGAGCTGTGGTCTTGACTTTTAAATCACGGAATCCCATTGGAAGGGACCTCAAGGATCACCTGGTGCAACTTTTCTAGGCAAAGCATGGCCTAGACTAGATGGCCCAGCACCCTGTCAAGCCAAAGATAAAGTTAAATAATACTTGAAGTTGATAGAGACAGTTCTTACCTTTTGAGTTGATTTTCAGCAAGTAGGAACGTTCTAGAGTCTTTAAAAAGAGAGAGAATGCATTTAGGAGACATCCAGTTTGATAACAGCCCTATTAATTAACCCCAAACTTGAGCATCTTCATGCTCCTTATCCCAGGCTTCAAGAGAAGCACCACCCCTGCACTCCACTCCTTGCTAACAGCATAGCAGATGAGGTGACTAATTACTAAAAAAGCCAGATTCCAGGTTCTCTGCTTTGGGTTGTGGAGCAGCAGTGGAACACCCAGGCACAGGGCTCAGCTCTGGAGCACCCGGGCACAGGGCTCAGCAGTGGAGCACCCGGGCACAGGGCTCAGCACTTCAATCCACAGAGAGTGAAGGCCCAAAGACAAGGGAGTCTTGGGTTATTCCCCACACCCCAACTGTGGTAGCTCCACCACGATAATGCTTTCCAGACAACCACATCACGGTCTGGGTGTTGAACACCCGAACGACAAACATGGCAAGACTACAACTAGAAGCAGCTGCCATCGAAGCTTGTTCCCAATGGATTACAGCAGTAATTACAGGAGGGAATGTCAGGAATTGTATGTCTATACACATATAGAAACACACCCCCATTCAAGGTCCCCTCTTTCCACCCTTTCCTATGCTGCTTCCACAGCTGTTCTGCTCTTACACCCTCTAGTTGTTTCCTTATTAGAAACTACTTCCCCCACCCAGAAGCACCATGTCAGGCGTGTTGGTGGCAAGTCCTGGCAAAGCCCCCCAAGCCACTGAAGCAGGCAGTGCTGTGGAATGGAGACACGATCTCCAGAGACCCCACTGTGTCACCCCTAAAGCAACTAAGCAAAGCACAGCCTGTCTGAGGGAGCAGCAGGAGCAGATGGTGGGGGCACAGCAGCCTGGGGGAGAGGTTCCAGCAGGGTGGAAGACGACAGAGGCTGAGTGTGGGATGACACACTGAGAAAACTGTTCCACAACACAATGGGGGAAACCAAAAATCCCTTTTTTGGTTTCTTCAGGATCAGATTATTCCCTTGAGGAATGGCACGAGCTGGGAAGCTTTCGCCAACATTCAGTGCTGGCTGCACAGTTAGAGCCCAGCAGCTACAACATGACAGCAGCCAAGGGCACACAGTGAAGCCAAGAAGTACATGATTCATCCAGACAGCAACTGCTCTGTGCAGGTACTCTTGGTTTCTATCAAACCCACTGATGTCCCACCTAATCCAGTGCCCTCCTTGCCCAAATCTAGATGTTTCTCCAAGTATTCCCACCCTTCCCAAAAGACTCAGCTCCAGAACAATATCAACACAGTGCTCGTAGTTATCATGAATAACATGCTTTTTACCTTAAACCCAAAGTAGTTGTAGGAGAAGTCTCTATCGTAGATAATGGCAGAATTCAGGCGCTGAGAGGAAATAGCACAGGTAAAAGTTACATTTACAATCAGGGGTTTTGTACCTTGCTTTAGGGTGTAACAACACTGTCATTTTCCTGCCCTCACAGCTCTAGTGAAACTGAGACCAACTCAGAGGAATAAAGGAGGGAAGAGCTTGAAACAACAACTGCACAGTTTTAACAGGGCTTTTTCCAAGTACAATGCACAATTGTTGGCTCCATTTGCTGAAATCTAACTACAAGAAACACAACACAGAATCAAGCTGCAAGGGTGACCTCCCCATCAGAACAACCTGAAATCAGAACCCACAGCTCAGCTTTCCCTTCTGTGCTCTCAGAACAGGCTGCTACAGCAAAAGGTGCTTTTTGTCAAATTCATGAGTTGTGCTGATCATGACTGAGGACTATACTCTGGTGAGACCCCCCCTTGCAGCGCTGGGTGCAGCTCTGGTGTCCTCAGCGTAAGGACATGGAGCTGTTGGAGCAAGTCCAGAGGAGGCCACGAGGATGATCAGGGGCTGGAGCACCTCCCGTATGGACACAGGCTGAGAACATCGGTGTGTTCAGCCTGGAGAAGAGAAGCTGCTGGAGACCTCAGAGCAGCTTCAGTGTCTGAAGGGGGCTACAAGGATGCTGGAGAGGGACCTTCATCAGGGACTGGAGTGACAGGACAAGGGGTGATGGATTCAAACTGAAACAGGGGGAGTTCAGGTTAGATCTAAGGCAGAAGCTCTTCCCTGGGAGGGTGCTGAGGCACTGGCA